TGCGGGGGTGGGGTCTCCGGGGAGGGAGCCGTTCGGGGTCGCGGATGCAGCTCTGCTGGGCTGGGAGGGCGGGGGTCGCTGCATCCTAGCTCCGAGTCCAGATGGGGGGAGGGGGTGCCCGGGGGATCGTGCAGGAGCCACATTCCTCTTTCTAGACCGTTCTACCGTCCTGGGGGCTCCTTCCTATCTCGCTTTCCTCCATTCCCCAACTGGTACTCAAAAATCACCTCGTGAGTGGCGGCGGGTCTCTCCTGCTCTCTGCCACGACCTGAAGCTCTGCTCCCCCGAGTGGCCCGGGTTGCACCTCCCATGCCGAGAGTCTGGCTTTGTGCACCGAGACCCTCTTCCTGCAGTCTTGGCGTGGACGCGGCGGAGAGGGCGGAGGGTGAACCTGTACCCCAGGTTCGATGCTGCGATGTCTGCCTGCAGACTAAAGTGAGACTTGGTTCTAGGGGAGACGAACCCGTGTGCCTTTGCATCCCTGAGACCCTCAGAGCAATTCCGCAGCTTGATTTCCGGTGAAGGAGACGTGCCCAGCCACGCCCTAGCAAATACCGTGGAGTAGACACCACCTGCATTTCTGAGACTCTTGCGTTCTGGTTACCGGCTCCTTGACTCTGTCCCTGTCCCCTCACGTTATTTTACATTTTCTCTAAATGAACATTCTCTCTGTGTCAAGGTCACATAGTGGTAGATCCACTTCTGCCGCCACCAGCCGGCTATGTTCATCCAGTGTTCAACTCCTGAGACCTTGGAGGGTCCTTTTGGATTCCGCCTTAGACCTACTAACGTTTCAGAAATTTTGGGGGTGAGAGTAAGAGACCTGCATTTTAAGTAGCTCTTGTAGGCAATTTTTAGCAGATTTGAGAACTGCCATCCTGAATATGTCCTCTCACTGGCCTTTCAAGGAATGTCTGAAAGAAAAAGTTAAAAATCCAGACTTCCTTGAAATTTTAGAATCTTCTGAAAAGCTCATTTCGAGCTTTTCGATTTTGACATTAGATGAGATACTGTACTTGAGGCCGGTACAAAGATAATCCAGGTAAGAGATTCTTGGTGTGGTCTTCTCCGGGTGCCGGCACAGCACAAGTAACCAGAGTGCGGAAGCTAGCAACAGCAGGGCCCAGGTGTTAAGTCCTTGATGGCCCTGGGTTTGAGCACTCTGAGGTGCTGCGGTGGTTTCCCTAGGATTTGGCACCTGATGTATGCAAGTCTGGGAGCCCTCTTTAGGAAAATGAATTGAAAAGCCATTTTGCTAATTTCACAGAAACTGGTCTGACTGTATAACGTATTTTCTTGGAAGGGTCCTTAATAATTAATTTTCTCTAAAGTCACCTCTGTCCACACAGCAAGTCACACTTACATTTTCCCCAGTAACTAGGCGGTATTGGAATTAGGCAGGCTGTGGCCTCTCTGAGCATTTAGTGAGGCCCTGCTCACCCTGTAAGAGGACTTGAAGGCTGCAGAGGTAGGAACCTTTTGGATGTTGGGAAAAGGGATGTGGCTGGAAGGAAGGTGAATTGAGGTAAGGAAAAATGCCTAGAAGGAACACCCGGGAGCTGTAGGAAACCTGGAGCAGCTTACCTTGAAATGGGAAATAGGAAAGACTGGAGAGATACTAATAATGAAATTTCATTTGCGTGGAGAAGAAAATGAGCTTTCTGGTTGTATAAGCAGGCTTGAAAAATTCTTTCCTGCAGCTTGCTACTGTACCCACCAGTAAGGTAGCGGTGTGCAAACTAATGGACCTTTCTGTTGGGAATCTAACGTCCGTATGTGAAATGATTGATGGTAGAAGAGCCAACCAGCATGTAAATTCAACCCAAGCACTAATTTTCATCATCTCACAATTGTGATAGATCATTTCCTCAAGGTAACCTCTATTAAAGTAAAAGTGCTTTCTTGGGGTCAGTATACCTGTTACATTAACATTTTTTTTGCCCAAATTAACGGATTATATTTGGACTTGGCAGGTGGCAGTGGAGAACCGTTTGTTTTACCTGTTAAATTGGTGCTCCCAGATTAAATTCTTAATGTTACTTGGATGATTCAGTCCCTGTTTTATTATCTAAGCCTTAGAGCCTTCAGAGTCTGAATTCTATTAATAGTAACCCTCGGGGGTTACATGGACTTGCTTCTAGGCAGTAGAAGGGCAGGTAAGTAGAGTGCTCCAGAGAGAACGGAGCGGCCCTGACCGAGGGTGTGTTCTGATGCCACCATGCTGTGACCTTGAAACTTACATCGCTTTGCTTTGGGACTTTGGAAGTATAAAACTAGCAGTGTCCGTATTACTAAGTCAGTTTTCTCTTGTAATCATCTAACCTGTTTTCTGTTTCCTTGATAATTTGACCGATCACCTAATCACATTGCCTGCTTGTAATGATTGATGTTCCTTATTCTACCAGCGTCACCTGGAGGACAGTTTTGGTAAGCCGTTTAGAAAAATCATGCACGTTGGAAACGGCGCTGTCGCCTCAGATCCATTGACAACACGATTCCCTGTCTCACCCCCGAATTTGAGGAGGCAAGAAATGTTTCTGAAGTGAAATGCAAAGGAGTATCTTTAGGTTCTCCTTATTTCAGACCTAGTGGATTACAGAATGGAATAGTGGAGAAAAAAATCTTGTGAAAGATTCTAGAACCCAGGTCCTTTCTAGGCCAGGCTTACAGTGACCTTACAGAATTCCAAACCTCTGTAAAATGAATACTGTATTATTTTATGAAAACTCTGAAGTCTAAAATGGGATTGTTAGTGCATAATATTAAGTGATTTAAGGAACATGGGAACATTGAAATCAGATGCATGGTGACCATTCATGGATAGACATAATTTAGCCGTGTCTCTTATTGTCCTGAATCATCTGTTTTATATTAAAGCGTAGGTGGGAATACAGGAAGCTTTAAGATAGGGGCAGCATGGTGTTTTAAGCACTGTTACTGTTGATTACAGTGTTCACAGAGGACAAGGAGAAATACGAGAATGGGAAGAGTAGAGGAGTATCTTGAGTGCAGAGAGCAGAACTGCAGTTTAAGGAATCAGAATTGGAGAGGAGCAAGCACTTGGCCCGTCCAGTGGCAGAAGGCTCTGATTCCAACAGCTGTGAGATTATGGGGAGTCGGGGGACAAGCAGCTGGTGTGTAAGAGGAGAGCGTGACCGAGCGGCCCAGGCTGAGATGAAATCCTTGTTGCAGTTTTTTTTTTTTTTGGAGAGGTTTTTGCTATAGGGCGTGCGCACTCTCCAGACAGACAGAGACAGACAGAAAGCGAGAAATCACCTCCCAGGGGGGATGGCCATGCCACAATCCCTTCTCCTCTGTTCTCCTCTCGGGATCTTGGGCATGCACGCACACGCGCCCGGCGTGAGTTTTAAGCCACCGGGTTCGGGACGTGAACCCGCGGTTGACTACATTGGAGTCCCGCAACATAGCCATTATGCTTACTGCTGGTCCCCTTGTTGCAGATTTTGATAAGGATGGTTTTAAGGCATATCAAAATGGTGGTTAGTGTGAAATTGCTTCCTTAAAGCCACATTGGTATAGTTTAGAATTCATAAAAACCTCCGGAGCTTTGTTTCTTATTACTTGATCATTTGAAACATAATTATCTCTTTATCATAAATCAGTTTAAGAAGGCCCTGGATTATTCTTGAAATGGGCTGAATTAAAAGGTGCTTCAGGGGCCTGCAGGTGGTTTAGTGTAGTTAAGGTGCCGGATTCTCATATGGCTGACCACAGTTTAAGTCCTGGATCTGGCAGATTGAAACTCATGCCGGGTGCATTTATGTGTGTGCCCAAATCCCAAGAGAATTGACACGGGATTGTGGTATGGCCATCCCCCTGGGTGGTGATTTTTCACTCTAGTGAGTGTACATACCTTATGACAAAAAGCCTTTAAAAAAATAAAAGCACTTCAGGTGGCAAACAACTCATAGAGCTTTCTGCACTGAAGTGGATGTTAAGCCTCATCAGAGTGTGGGTTTCTAAATTACCCGCAGGACAACTCCCACAAAGACCCCCCCTTACTTTAAAGAAACCAAAAATGTGTTTTTTCACCTTTGGGATATCATGTTAGTGGTAGACTGCAGTGTCCTGCTTTTTGAGAAATACAGTTCAAAAAGGAGTCCCGGGACTAGCAGTTAGCGTAATGGCTATGTCTCTGGACTCCCATGTAGTCGACCACGGTTCGCGTCCCGGACCTGGTGGCTTAAATCTCACGCTGGGTGCGTGTGCACCCAAGATCCCAAGAGGAGAATGGAGGAGAAGGGATTATGGCATGTCCATCCCCCCTGGGGAGCGATTTTCCCCTTTCTGTCTTTGTCTGTCTGGCGAGTGCACAAGCCCTATAGCAAAAACCGTTCCAAAAACAACAACAACCAGGAGTCCCCAAATGTGTTTTCCATGTTACAATCAGAAAATGGATAGAATTTATCTTACCTGTTAGTAAATGGTAGCTATTACTCAGTGGTTACTTTTGTCATTTAATCTGTAGAAGATAGGTGCAGTTATGTTAACTCCACTTTACACATGAGAGTTGTTTCATTTTCTCAGTCAAATGTTAGTAAGATGTATAGTTAAGTTTTGAACTCGGGAACAACGGATGGTGTAGTAGTTAAGTCGGTGGACTCCCATATAGTTGACCGTGGTTCGAGTCCTAAACCCAGCAGCTTAAAACTCAGGCTGGGCATGTGTGTGTACATGCCCAGAATCCCCAAAGGAGAATGGAGGAGAAGGGAATGTGGCACGGCCATCTCTCTGGGGAATGATTTCTTAGTTTCTGTCTCTCTTTCTCTGTCCCTCTGGCAAGTGTGTGCACCCTATAGCAAAAATCTCTCTCTCAGAATAAAATGAAGTCTTGAATTTAGAGCACTCATTTTAACAAGCGTAATGGTATTTTGAGAAATTATTTCATATTTTTGGCATCAGTTGTGTGTCCTTATTGTCTTTAGTATATTTTAGAAGCCTATAGGCTCTCAAGTTACAGTCTCTCTCCTTTTTTTCCTTAAAGGATCATTTTTTTATTTAACTTTATTTATATTAATTTGACCAGGGAGCGACAAAGTGAGTGAGAGAGAGTGAGAAAGCAAGCTGCCAGGTCCGGGACTCGAACTGTGGTTGGCCATGTGGGAGTCCAGTGTCCTTAACCACCACACCACCTGCCAGCCCCAGTCTCTCTCCTTTTTTTTAAATAATTACTTATTTAACTTTATTTACTTAAATTTGACCAGAGAGTGACAGAGTGAGAGAGAAAGTGAGAAAGCAAGCTGCCAGGTCTGGGAATCGAACCTGTGGTCGGCCATATGGGAGTCTAGTGCCCTTCACCTCCACACTGCCTGCTGGCTTCAAGTTATGGTCTCTGAAGTTGCTGGTAAAATTCCTCCTGGAAGCCAGGTGGAGGAAGCCCATCTCCTGCCCACTTCAGCCTGCACTAGCATTCC